ACATCTAGCCAAGTTTGCCCCCTCGCCGGTGACATGCAAACCCTAACTCGCCTAGCTCGTCATGGGTTATTTTAGCAAGGGCAATGGCAAGCTCACCCCGGCACCAGCTCGTCCCGGACGCCGCCTCTCCACCTCGACGCGGACCACCGCCATGGGAAAGGGAGCGCATGTCCACCCCGGTGCACCAGGCGAGGTGCACTAGTAGTACCGTCAAGAGCTGCCCTATCCGGATGTCAACCTGCCGCATGGTTGGCATCTGGACCAGCACCGCATCCCGATGCCGGTGGCGCATCGACGAGTCAAGAATGTCAGGCCAGAGTTGTACACCGTTGCAGTGCAGCACCGAAAGCATGATCATTATGATTTGTCCATGCAAAGACCTGACATGCCAGCGCTTTGACACCGTGTTTCAGTGCAGCATGATTTGTCGTCGCGAAGAAATTCCTGATGAGAACAAAAGAACTCAATGTCTTGGTGCATGTGGTGCTCACAGAGCGTGACGACTGGTCCGCGGACTTGGACCTTTAGCTCAAACACAGGTACGTACTATAGCCCCAATCGCATGCACTAAGGAGAAATTTTGTGTGATGACTAAGTTGCCTAAGGTTGAAAAAATAAACTGTGTGTGCCCCACTGGGAAAGGCTAACTGTGTGTAATAGGCCGACACTGTATTTTTTAGCACAGTACAATCAAAGTCATTCACATACACAAGTATACAATCAACCTTATGAATGCATGCATGTACACCCTACCCCTATGAGCGCCTCCGAGAGACTGAGCCGGTACATTCTTAAGATTGACGAAGTCGCCATAGATCCCTTCGTAGTCGACATGAATGTCTTCTCCCACTGAACCCACATCGCCGGAAGGCCTGGAATAAATCCAGGTAAATGCAAGCACCAATGTCAAGTCTGGGACATGAACTCCAGCAAACACACTTTACTTTCATCGTGTAGTAAGCAGAAAAAAATAATTCCAGGTGAAACTCACATCGTGAGGAGGCATGCCGATATTAGGCACCCGGCGCTGATGTCGGCGGATCTCGGGACCGATGGAAGGAGAGGCGCGGCCTGGCTGCCACGGCTAACCGCGGCGAGTTGGGCTCGGACCTGAAGGGGCCGCCGGTGGAGCGCGAACAGTGTGTGGATGGCGTGTCGTCTCCAGTGCTTGTGGTTTTGGTGCCCCTCCTAGAGCTACCAGGGATGGATGGGCGGATGAGGGCATGGTGGGCCTGAGTGAAGGGAGAAGCCGAAGAGGATGTGACTGGTGGTGGGTGCCCCGGCCGATCCCAGCGCGCGCCTCACATCGCATTGGCTCGATGCCTCTCCTCTTTATCTGCATCGCCTTTGGGTCGACCCCTCTCCCAGCTATCCCGTGTCGCTCTATCTCCTTAATGGGGAAAAATAACGAGCGGACGAGCGCAACACACTGTACTTATGGGTCGAACATGCCTAGTTTACAAGATTTCATTGCTTCGACCTGGAGAGCAGCAGCCCATTAGGACAGTTGGGCCACATGCGGGACAGACGGCTGTAGATAGGGGATCCGACGGCCAGAGATACCCAGATCGTCAATCAGACTGCCAGAAATGCAAATCGCTGAGAGGGCTCGCTTTAGGCTCGGTTATACTGTCCTAAATTTTAGCAAGGGCAATGGCAAGCTCACCCCGGCACCAACTCGTCCCGGACGCCGCCTCCACCTCGACGCGGACCACCGCCATGGGAAAGGCAGCGCATGTCCACCCCGGTGCACCAGGCGAGGTGCACTAGTAATACCGTCAAGAGCTGCCCTATCCGGATGTCAACCTGCCGCATGGTTGGCATCTGGACCAGCACCGCATCCCGATGCCGGTGGCGCATCGACGAGTCAAGAATGTCAGGCCAGAGTTGTACACCGTTGCAGTGCAGCACCGAAAGCATGATCATTATGATTTGTCCATGCAAAGACCTGACATGCCAGCGCTTTGACACCGTGTTTCAGTGCAGCATGATTTGTCGTCGCGAAGAAATTCCTGATGAGAACAAAAGAACTCAATGTCTTGGTGCATGTGGTGCTCACAGAGCGTGACGACTGGTCCGCGGACTTGGACCTTTAGCTCAAACACAGGTACGTACTATAGCCCCAATCGCATGCACGAAGGAGAAATTGTGTGTGATGACTAAGTTGCCTAAGGTTGAAAAAATAAACTGTGTGTGCCCCACTGGGAAAGGCTAACTGTATGTAATAGGCCGACACTGTATTTTTTAGCACAGTACAATCAAAGTCATTCACATACACAAGCATACAATCAACCTTATGAATGCATGCATGTACACCCTACCCCTATGAGCGCCTCCGAGAGACTGAGCCGGTACATTCTTAAGATTGACGAAGTCGCCATAGATCCCTTCGTAGTCGACATGAATGTCTTCTCCCACTGAACCCCCATCGCCGGAAGGCCTGGAATAAATCCAGGTAAATGCAAGCACCAATGTCAAGTCTGGGACATGAACTCCAGCAAACACACTTTACTTTCATCGTGTAGTAAGCAGAAAAAAATAATTCCAGGTGAAACTCACATCGTGAGGAGGCATGCCGATATTAGGCACCCGGCGCTGATGTCGGCGGATCTCGGGACCGATGGAAGGAGAGGCGCGGCCTGGCTGCCGCGGCTAACCGCGGCGAGTTGGGCTCGGACCTGAAGGGGCCGCCGGTGGAGCGCGAACAGTGTGTGGATGGCGTGTCGTCGCCAGTGCTTGTGGTTTTGGTGCCCCTCCTAGAGCTACCAAGGATGGATGGGCGGATGAGGACATGGTGGGCCTGAGTGAAGGGAGAAGCCGAAGAGGATGTGACTGGTGGTGGGTGCCCCGGCCGATCCCAGCGCGCGCCTCACATCGCCTTGGCTCGATGCCTCTCCTCTTTATCTGCATCGCCTTTGGGTCGACCCCTCTCCCAGCTATCCCGTGTCACTCTATATCCTTAATGGGGAAAAATAACGAGCGGACGAGCGCAACACACTGTACTTATGGGTCGAACATGCCTAGTTTACAAGATTTCATTGCTTCGACCTGGAGAGCAGCAGCCCATTAGGACAGTTGGGCCACATGCGGGACAGACGGCTGTAGATAGGGGATCCGATGGCCAGAGATACCCAGATCGTCAATCAGACTGCAAGAAATGCAAATCGCTGAGAGGGCTCGCTTTAGGCTCGGTTATACTGTCCTAAATTTTAGCAAGGGCAATGGCAAGCTCACCCCGGCACCAGCTCGTCCCGAACGCCGCCTCCACCTCGACGCGGACCACCGCCATGGAAAAGGGAGCGCATGTCCACCCCGGTGCACCAGGCGAGGTGCACTAGTAGTACCGTCAAGAGCTGCCATCCGGATGTCAACCTGCCGCATGGTTGGCATCTGGACCAGCACCGCATCCCGATGCCGGTGGCGCCCTGATCGACGCAAGCGCACCCGAGGAGGTGCGTAGGCGCCGCGAGTTGCTTATGTCGGAGCAGCGGCGGCACCCTGCGTACGCTCCAGACTCTCTCAACTAGGAGATCTGGTTCGCGCTAGAACACGAGAAGGAGCGCCTCCACGGTTTGTAGCTCAACGTCGCCGTTCCACTGCCGCTCCCGGAGGTCAAGCAAAACGAGGACGAGGCGGCCTACCAGTCCGCGCCAGAGACGGCCTTGCAGCATGCTCTGGAGGAGAGCAGTCGTGACAAGGACGCACACTGGGAGGGCCTGCAGGAGGCCCTCGCGTTGTCCGCGACCGAAGACTGCATCGTCCCCCCCCCCCCTGCCGCAGGAGCCCAAGCCAGAGCAGTACTAGTTGGCCGGCCAGCTCCGTGAATGGGTCCGACGCCGGAACAGGAGACGGCAGGAGCAGGAGGAGGAGTGCCAGGAGAGGGAGGAGGAGGAGCGCATCTGCAGGATGCGGCACGGGCCTAGGAGGCGGCATTCCCCTGGGTTGGCCCGGCACCGGAGCTGATCGACCTCACCAGCCCGGGAGAGGACGACAATGCCTTGGACAGCGCCCGGGGAGGCGCAACCTATTTAATGTTTAATTATGTTTAAGTGGACTTTGGTCGGCGTTTAACCATTGTTTTAATGTTTAATTATGTTAGTTTGGACTTGTTTGTGTGGATTTTTGAAGCTTGCGTGAAAAAACAGCGTCCGGGCAGGGTTGGGTGCATGCGCCGACTTAAAGAAAAGGCATAGACGTTCGCTCAGCCAACCCAAACGGACAAAACTCGCATCTATTTTGGTTGCTGCGTTGGAATAGTGTATTGATGGATGGGCGTCAGGTTTGGCGCGCACTCGCTTCGCCAAGTAAAATCATCCGGGTCTGTCCATTGCATCCATGGCTGACAAGACTATGTACTCCTTCAATGTAAATCAAGTGAAAACCCTACGCCTACGTAACATCGGCTTTGCTAAATCTCAGTCGGTTGAGACTTAAGTCTCAGTCGATGATTTATTCGTGAAATCTTCTGTGAAGATATCTGCGCAATTTTTTTAATGAGATTGGTAAATCTCCATCGACTAAGACTTAACCAAGTCTCAGTCGATGTTATATTCGTGAGATCTTACACGAAGATCCGTCTTTTAATTTTTTATTTCTTCTTTTTATATGTTTTATTAGTTGACTGAAACTTGGCTAAGTCTCAGTCGACTACCATCTAGCCATACCCTTCTTTTAAACTTGTTTTTCTTATATATGTTTGGTGTGTTGACTGAAACTTCTCAGTCGACTGAGATTGAGCCAAACTTCCAACTAATTCACTCATCTCCGAATTTCAGTGATGTGGGCCGTTCCTCCCCCTAAACCCAATCACAATTCTCCACACTGATTTACGTACAAACTTGTAAAATGTACGTAAGTCTAGCATTGCTAATTGCTCATGTGGCGCACAAGACCGTCTCGTCTGAGTCTCTCACGCACCCGCGCCTTCTTAAACCCCACACCACACCACACGAGCGCAGTGACGCGAGCTATCGAGTTGCAGAGAGGTCCGACGGGCAAAAATGGCAGCCTCTTCCTCGCTCCCCGTGGTCATCTGGGCGCTGCTCCTCCTCCTCCTCGTCGAGGCGTTCGCGCCAGCAACAGCAGCAGCAGCAGCGAGCCCCTCCAAGCGCCCCGCCCATCAGCCTCCTCTTTTCCCCGTGGGACTCGCTCCCCTGCATCCGAAGCAGTCGAGCGGCAGGTACGCCGCCGCCGCCGTCACGGCCTCAGCCTCCGCGGCGACGGACAACGGCACGGTGAAACCGTTCACGGCGCACTACTTCCTGCAGGAGCTGGACCACTTCACCTTCACGCCCAACTCCTCCCACCTCTTCTCCCAGAAGTACCTCCTCAACGACACCTTCTGGCGGCGGAAGCCCAACGCCGGGCCGCTGTTCGTGTACACCGGCAACGAGGGCGAAATCGAGTGGTTCACCACCAACACCGGCTTCATGTTCGACATCGCGCCCGACTTCGGTGCCCTCCTCGTCTTCATTGAGGTACCCTTTCTGCCTGCCACATATATCCTCCGCTATGGCTGATATCATCGGTGACCACTGACCGGCCCCTCGTCCAAAATTTAGTTGTCCTATTGGTTCCCTCTAGACAAGACACCATTGAGCAGCAATCACTTTTTTAAGCAGTTTGGTTGTCCTACTAATCAGTAACAGCAATCACTTTCATGTTCAACTTGTTTGAAATTTGTCAGCATCGGTTCTACGGGGAGTCGATGCCGTTCGGGAACGACTCCGACTCGTACAGGTCGGCAGAGACGCTGGGCTACCTCACGTCCATGCAGGCGCTCGCCGACTTCGCCATCCTCATCACCAGCCTCAAGCAGAACCTCTCCGTCATCGACGCACCCGTGATCGTCTTCGGCGGCTCCTACGGCGGCAGTAAGTCCATCACCAGCGCGTCTCCGTGTATTATATCATGGGGTGCGACGTGAGGGCGGACAATTTTTTTGAGAGAAAATTAGGATGAGCTAATCTACACTAATTAATAATGTTGTCAGAAGAGTAAATGATTTTATGCCTGTGTTGTTTCTAGTGCTGGCATCATGGTTCAGGCTCAAGTATCCCCATGTCGCCATGGGAGCAGTGGCATCCTCTGCACCGATCCTGCAGTTCGACGACATCACCCCGTGGTCTAGCTTCTATGACGCCATCTCGCAGGACTTCAAGGTAACAATGGGAATTAATCACTACTACTGCATAACATCATCGTGCTTTTTTTTCTTTCATTTCCTCAAAAATAAGTTGGTCAAAAGAATTTCGGGATAGTTCATGGATGGCCCAGTGTCACCTGTCAAATTATTGGTCTTGAGCCACGTCCGTCTGGTGCAAACTTATCGGCGATGTCAGCTCAGAATTACTATTTGTACTGAATTTCACTTGTTTTCGTGTTGTCATTACCCTGGCGGCACCTTAGCGGATTATGAATTGGTGATGGTGCTTTTCTTCATGAGCATGTAGCTAACAGGTTTTTTTTATTAGAATTTCTCATGAAAATAATATATGGAATTTAAGTGCGTGATTGAAATGGGTAAGGAAGTAATGATTCAGTTTTTGGTTAGCTTGATTGCGACGCACAACCGCACCGAAGAGCTATTACAAATATGGTAGAGATATAAGGTCCTCACTTGTATGCAAATTGATGTATTTTGTTCATCATTGATGCCTGATGACACAGCTATTACTAATACGGTAGAGACAAGATATGACAAGGGAAAGGAATGATGAGTCACTTTGTAGTGGCATCTTTTTCTGATTGATGCTTGATTAATAGCTGTCCCATGTCAAGTTTCCAAAAAGATAAATGTATCTGTAACATCCAACTAATTTTGCAGTCTGAGAGCCTGAATTGCTTCAGTGTCATCAAGGCAGTCTGGGATGTGCTGGATGATCGGGGATCCAACCACACAGGCCTCTTGGAGCTCAGCAAAACCTTCAGGGCTTGCAAGTAAGCTTTGTCCAACTGATAATTTGTTTTTTGACTGAAAACCGTTGGGGAGAACTCCACAGTATCAAATTCATTACCGTAGGGAGAAAAATAAGAGATCAAGACTGCAAGTATTTTTTTTTCTATGTGTGAAGTGTAAGTAAAGCAAACAAATAGTCAAACCTTGTAGGCAAGAAATACATGAAAAAAGATGACTTGCAGGCTTAGAGAATGTACATTAAGTCCAAAGGATATACACTCAGCTCAGCTGCATACATGGAACACGAAAAGCCTCATCTTGACAAGATTGCCCGAGTGGTGAACTAATGAACAGCGCCGCATTTGAACAAATGGGCGATGACTCGGGTTCATGACGTTGTGTTATCCCTCAACTTTTAGGACCGTGCAGTCCGCTGATTCGCTGAGTAACTGGCTATGGAATGCATTCACCTACACCGCCATGGTGGACTATCCAACCCCAGCCAATTTCATGATGAATCTGCCTGCTTACCCTGTGAAGGAGGTTAGCCACTTGTAACCTACTCTCTCCATTTCTAAATATAAGTCCTTCTAGAGATTTCAATACGTACTACATACGGATGTATATAGATATATTTTGGAGTGTAAATTCACTCATTTTGCTCCGTGTGTAGTACATATTGGAATCTCTAAAAAGACTTATATTTAGGAACGGAGGGAGTACCTTATAACCCTTACTCTCGCCTGCATTACTCAGAGCTACCAAACTGAGTCCGCGGACCTGTTTTTATTACGTTCTTCTGAGCATTTCTCCTGAGATTTCTGCAGATGTGTAAGATCATTGATTCTTTTCCTGCGGGAGCAGACATCATCGACAAAGCTTTCGCCGCGGCGAGCCTGTACTACAATTACTCAGGGGACCAGAAATGCTTTGAGATGGAGGGTGGCGATGACCCTCATGGCCTCGATGGCTGGGGTTGGCAGGTACAAGCCTGACTCACATACGTGTGAAGGGTCATTTATGTGTTTGCTGAAATAAACTCTTGTGCAGGCCTGCACGGAGATGGTCATGCCGATGATTGTGTCCAATATGAGCATGTTCCCACCGTTCAGCTTCAGTTACGAGAACAATTCCGAGGGCTGCCTCACGTACTACGGAGTTCGTCCGAGGATGCACTGGATCACTACTGAATATGGTGGCCATGTAAGTTTTTGTTTCAGATTTTCAGTGTTTACGTGTGAACCGTTAGTAGCAGCATTTCTTTGTGTGGCATGTGCTCACCTGGTGCTGCCTGCATTGCACAACCCACTGCAGAAAATTGACAAGGTTCTCAAGAGGTTTGGGAGCAACATCATCTTCTCCAACGGAATGCGAGACCCGTGGAGTCGAGGCGGGTAGGAGTAAAATATTTCACCATCAGTTGATAGTTTCAACTTTCAACCATCTAGGTAATTTTTTTACCATAGTAAAGAATAATAATAGTTTTCCTTCCGAACTTCTACCAGGGTACTCAAGAACATATCATCCAGCATCATTGCTCTTGTGACGGAGAAAGGTAAACATGAATTTAAAGAAAATATACAAGGTCAAAAGTATTCTGAAACTGATTTACCCATGGCTACTTCTTGTGGTGGTCATGTTCAGGGGCCCATCATTTGGACTTCAGATCTGCAACCAAGGATGATCCAGAATGGGTTGTAGAACAAAGGAGACAGGAAGTTGAGATCATACATGGATGGATAGATCAGTATAACAAGGACATTGCACAGATGTAGCATTAAGAAGGCGCCATTGAGTTTCACGGTCAAGGAAAATAAATGTGGCTAAATGCAAAATATAAGGATTTTCCTTTCTTCTATTAGGCGATAAGAACCAATATCGGTGGTGAATTTACTAAAGGATAATGACCATGATAGGTTGGTGTTTGCTTCGTTAGTGGCAGAGATTAAATATTTGCTTTCTCTTCGTAAAACTTGTATTAAGCGGAAAGTTTTAAATAGCTGGCCCAGCTATAGCCCCGCTATAGCAGTTTGTGCAGGTTGCCGCTAAATGATAGGCTATAGGTTTCATGTAAAATTCTCTGAAAATGTTCTGAAATAGCTGGTATGGCCTCGCTATAGCTTATTTGGAGGACCGCAGTGTTTGGCATAGCCTCGCTATAGCCAAAATATTGTAGCAAACTATTTGGCAAACTTTGCTAGAACTGAAAAGAGAACTGTACTGTGGCTCTGTGGTCCACGATTACAATGAACTTAGCAAAGTTGATTGGAGAAACAAAAAATCTCTCATTTCCGACGTGAATAGATTTTTTTTATTTCGAAATAAAGGTTCTTGTCTTGTGGGAAACGATGCACACATTTTTTGAATCCGGTACCAACAGGTATAATCCCCACATAACTACGTTTTCTTTCAAGCCTTTCAACCAATCAATGCGACCTAGTAGGACAGCTTTTGCTAAAACTCGAGCAATTTCTTGAAAACTTGCTTCAGATATGAAACTTTGGGTATTCAGGGAAGCCCTTGTTATTCCCAATAAGATGAGTGAATTGCAAGAAACCACCACATTTGGGGCTTATCTTGCAGAAAACAACTTGGTCGCTAATCATTTGCAAAAGCCACCGCGGATTCAGTATAAGTGTTGCAGATTGCACTGAACATGTAATTTGGCGCGGTTGAGGGCGTTTCCGACAAGTGGGACCCGGGTGTAAGGATCTGACTCAGCAAACAATTAACACACACACCCCTATATCTAACAAAGGAAAGCAATCAACCCCTCCCCTGTGGAGCAGCGCGAGCTCGGCCGACACGGCGACGCCCTGACCCTGCTGACCATCGGGATGCCGTGGCAGGGAGCGTGAGCCCCAGCAGGGCGGACATGGAGACGAGGAGGAGGTGGAGCAGGCAGGAGATGGACATGAGCGAGCAGTCGAGCGCGGCGTGCGCGCCCCCGAGCGTGTCGCGGTGGCGGACGGTGACCGCGAGCAGGTCGGCGCGCCTGCGGCACAGCCCCACGGCCTCCTGCTCGGCGTGCCCGCGGCACAGCGCCTTGGCCTCTTGCTCGGCGCGCCCGGGTCGCACTTTGAAGCTCCGGCAAGCTATGGACCACACGGCCGCGCCCTCCTCTACGACCCCGGCTCGTCTGGGAGCCACACTGCTCAGCGACGGCCATGGCAATGGAGCTGCGGCGTGCCGCCGCTGCTTCATGTCGAGCGAGCAGAGGACCGCGTCGTCCCTGCCTCGCCCGCTCTTGGACCTCTGCGTCGTCCTCACCGCCCACTGGTGAGCTCCTTGCGCCGCCTCCGGTCCCTTTCTTATCCTCGTGTCGCGCCGCTGCTGACTTCTCCGCCTCGCCGTCGTTTTGCTGCAGGAGCCGAGGCCGTCGCCCCCTCTCAGTTCCGTCGGATCCGCTGCCTGCAGGCCGTTCCTCGCCTGCA